TCTTTATTTATTTTGGTATTTAACTAATTAAGAATAAAAAATAAAAAATAAAATCTCACCAAAACCCTCTCTCTCTCTCTCTCTCTCTCTCTCCCTCTCTCAAGAAAGTCAAAAAAAAAACTCGTTACTGTATTTTCCTAACCCTCTCAGCCTTTTCTCTCATTGTCCATCGGCTATATCCCACATGCCTCCATCTACTAGACTTCTTCCTTACATGATCTTCCTGAACTCTTTCTTTCTTTCTTCTTTCTCACCTTCTCCATCACCTACTCTTTCACTCGCCCCTTTTCTCTCTCCATCGCCTGAGAAGTTCACTGTCTAGTCTCTTAATGATGTACTTTCCAATCAGTTTCTAGAGCGACTCCATGGATACTACTGAATTTGAGAAGTTCACAGCCTCACCCCTTGCCCACGATGCAACCGTAGATGTCCAATGGTTCGATTTATGGGTGGAGAACTTTGATTTATTGATTCGATGTTGAAGGTCAAGGGTTGGATGTGGTGATTTAAGTTCATTAGGTTTGATTTAATGGAATTTATGGGTCTTGGTCTTGATTTAGTTGCAGTTTTGTAATGGTTTTTGAACATCGATGAAGGTCTTGATTTAGTTGAGTTACAGAGTAAAATCGGAGGTCCGAGAACACGCAGATCCAAAATCGAAGGTCCAAAAAAAGGGAATTTTAGAAGAAATCAAGAAATTTGTGTGTATATATGTTCTTATGAGTTTCAGAATTAGACTCCAAGAAATTTGTTGTTGTTGTGTTTGTTATGTTTTTCCCCCTCCTTCTTCCATCTCGATTGTTGTTGCCAGACGCAAAGGGAATGAGGCAGTGGAGCTGCTATCGCTTGTCACCCGTCACCGACCTCCACCTCGTTGCTGCTACTGCTGTGAACCATCACCACCTCCGAATGCTGCTTCCGTCGACCCTCTCTGTCCAGCCACCACTCTAATTTGAAGGTGATTGCCTTCCCCCTCTTATTTGCTTCGTCCGATCGAGACAAGAGACTCACTGTGATGAGATTGTTTTCAATCGATGTGGGTGCTTTGCGTTAGAATGTGTGTGTCTTTGTGTTTGGGTTTCAATTTCTTTCTATTACTTGATTTTGGATATTGTTCATCAATTTGGGGTTATCAGAGATGAATTCCATGAGATTTTTTAGAAGACGAAAAGAGAGAGAGAGAGAGAGAGAGAGAGAGAGAGAGAGAGGGGTGGGGGTACTTTTTTTCTTTTTTCTTTAATTTTTTAATTAAAACAGCATTAGAATAATTATAAAAAATACAAAAAAAGAAAATAAAAGAGCATAATCGTCTTTTTAAGTTTTTTTGGACAAAAAACCCATAAAAACCTTGATTTTAAACATTCCATACAATCTGGAAATTTTTAGGACCTTATCCAAAGGTTTTTGAAAACCACAAAGGACCAAATTTGCTTATATAAATTTTCATTAACTCCATTGTATTAAAACTTAATGTTCATATTACACCCTATATTTTTCTGACTTTTATAAATTTACTATATAACTATACTAACCTAATCTATTAAAAATATACTAATATAAACGTTTGTTGAAATTTTGGTTAAGATTTGACTACATGATTATTAATTTGCAACAAACGTCTAAAATGATTTTCTTCTTTATTTTTAGAATTTAGACATTGCTTAACTTGAAATTAATATATATATATATATATATATATATATATATATATATATATATATATATTATATATATATATATATATATATATATATATATATATATATATATATGTTTGATTAAAAAATTAAAATTAGATTAATGGATACTAACATAAACGTTTGTCGAAATTTTGGTTAAGATTTGACTACATGATTGTGACTTTGCAACAAACATCTAAATTTTTTTTGTCTTTCTTTCTTCTTTTTGAATTTAGGCATTACTTAACTTGAAACAATGGCGGAGCTAGACGGAGCATTGGGGTACTACAGTACCCTCAAAAATTATTATTATTATTATTATTATTATTATTATTATTATATATATATATATATAATATTATTTGTAAATATGTTTTATATTATGATACCCCCAATAAAGAGATTATAACATGTTTTTAATGTTCGATATTATATAACTATATATAATATATTGACAATATTTGTACCTCATATCAAAATTCATGATTCCACTACTGACTTGAAATGAATATGACATAAATAAATATGCTTGATTAAGAAATTACAACTAATTTAATGGATGCGTACGATACCATACATTTGTCATCCTTAGTTAAAGTAGCAATGACCAGTGACCAGATGATCAATGGCCTAGCAGTATGGAGTGACTATCTCATATGAGAGGTCAGGGGTTCAAGTCTCGATGGAGACATAAGTGGTTATTTAGGATTAGATTAGTTAGTCTACCGTTTCAAAAAAAAAAGTTAAAGTAGCAGTGATGATATTGTTTTGACAAAATTGCAAGAATGGTCCCTGTGGTATGTCAAAACTAGCAATTTTGGTCCAAAATGGGTTTGGCTCGCAAGAATGGTCTAATAGTTTCGTTTTGTTGCGAGTTTAGTCCAATTTCCTATGAACTTTTTTATAATTATGGATTTGCCCTTATTATTTAATTTTCTATTTGTTTATAATTTCTTTTTATTTTTCTAATGAAAATTTAAACAAAAGAAAAAAGAAAATGTAACCCCACTTTCTTTATTCCCTACAAGACTAGTCCGGTCACCACTGCTACCGGAAACCACCATCACCACCACTCTAGAAAAACAATTTTTTTCATATTTGAAAAATAAAATAATCATGTTTTTTCACATCTACAATCTAAAACATGAACAATCCAATTTTCTACAAACTCAATTTTTTCCATATCACTCAAATTGGAACAAGAACACTCATGAACACTCATCGGTCAGACGTTGGAGTTGCTGGAGGCGGAGTCACCACCTCTCACCGGAATAGGTTTCCAACGTGGGTTACTGTTTGGGATCTTTGCAACCTCTGTCTTCATTTGTACGGAGGTGACAACGGCCATTTAACAAACCCTAAATCGTCACCAAGAAAAGCTCAAGATCTTCGTCGCCATGCTCCTCCGATTCTTCATATCTATCTTGGACTCACACTTGAAACACCAAAACCCTCTTTGTCAACTTTAGATCTTCGCCTCTATGATCCTTCGATTTGAAAACCCTTCGATCTGAAAAACCATCCCATTTGAAAGCCTTCGTCACGTTAAGCTCGCCATTGCTACCAAAGAAGAACTGATAGAAAAGAAGAACCGAGATCCGAAAGATTTAGAGTTCATGGCTGATGAGACCTAAACATCTAAGGGGTGGCGTTGACGGTGGTCTGATGAACCACAAATCTGTAAACAAAGAACCGGAGTTAAGGTTTCTCCTGATGAAAACTGAAGCAGGTGAGGAAGAGAGATGAGTGGGTGGTGACTCCATCTAGACGGTGGCTACTGTGGCAGAGGGTGGCGGTCCGACGAGAAGATTCCAATTGATCTAATTTTTCTGACAGCTTATGTTCTTGTAAAATGAAAATGCGTTAGAGGGAGAAAGAGAAAGAGAGGAAGGAGGGATGAGGTGTGTATTTTTTATTTCTGATTTTTGCAATAAAAATAATTAAGAAAATAAAACTAAAAATGGCAAATCTATCATTATAAAAACGTTCATATGAAATTGGACTAAACTCACAATATAACGAAACTATTGGACCATCCTTGCAAGCCAAACCCATTTTGAACTAAAGTTGCTAGTTTTGACATACCATAAGGACCATTTTTGCAATTCTGTCTATTGTTTTTGTAATAATTTACTTTCTTAGTAAAAGAAATATAAATTATTAAACCAAAAAATTAACAACAATGGCTTTTTGAAGTAAGCTTTATATTATAGTTTAAACTGTTAAAATTTTCAAAAAAAAATTAAATAAAAAATTAAAAAAAAACAATTCATTATGGTAAAATAACTATGATTTGCAAGAAAAATAAAAATAAGGTAAAATAATAATGTTTTGAACTAAAAATAATAACTAAAAGATGTTATTTGAGACATCTATTCAAATAGAAGGGCCTAATTGGTCATGTTTATTATATATTTTCCATATATTAATTTTAAAATAATGAATAATTTTAAAAATCAAAATCATATTATGACAATTATTAAGATGTGGAATCTTTGTGTTTTGTTTGGTGCGAAAAAAATCGCCTTTTCTTGCCTTTTTCAACAAATAGGCTTCTATCATTATTCATGATGCATTTTGTTGTCACAATCACTTTTTTCTTTTTTAGCCTTCTCTTTCTCGATTGTTTTATTTTATATTAAATATAAATGATTTTCAAATTATTATTTTATTTCGTAACTATTCTATAGTATATATTAATGCTCATTGGTTATATATATATATATATATATATATATATATATATAATATATATATATATATATATATATATATATATATATATATATATATATATATATATATTATATATCCTTCTCTTTCTCGATTGTTTTATTTTATATTAAATATAAATGATTTTCAAATTATTATTTTATATCGTAACTATAGAATGTGTATATATTAATGCTCATTGGTTATATATATATATATATATATATATATATATATATATATATATATATATATATAAATATATATATATATATATCTTTACTATCTTATAAAAGAAATCTATCTATTTCTAAAAATAGATTGATTATAATAATAATATTTTTTTAAGACGTCCAAATGATGAAGCTGATAGTACAACTAACCATTAATAAAATAATATTAAATTTTAACCACATTTTGAATTCAAATATTTATCATCAAATCTCCTTATTTCTCAGCAATTTGATATGGTTCCCTCAAATTCCGAATTAATTCAAAATTTGAACCCTTTTAGATATCCTTAAATTTAGCATGTTAATTCAAATAATCCTCCAATCGCAGATACCTCTTTGTTCCCTCGTCTGCTATAAAGCCCACCGTGTAGGAATAAAAAATGACTTCATCTCCCAAATAACACCATAGTTTGATTATTTTGTTTTCGACATGTACTTTCTTTTGTAACATAACATTTTTGTAGAGGAAACATATCACCGAAAAAATTTACACACCCCGCCGCTTTGCGCGGATACGCTGCTAGTATATATATATATATATATATATATATATATATATATATATATATATATATATATATATATATATATATATATATATATATATATATAAAATACCAAGACATCAAAAAACTTTTTTTTTAATTTTTTTATTAAAAAATCGCAGCATTTTTACAATTTCGCTGAAAAAAAAATCAATTTTTTATTATTTTTTTCTTTTTTATTGTAAAAAATATTTTTTTTTCAAAAAAAAGTTTCAGCGATTTTGACCTAAAAGTTGCAATTTTTTGATAAAAAAATTCAAAAAAAACTTTTGTGATCTCTAAGTATTTTTTTATGCATTTTAATGATTTTTAGGGTTTTTTGTTTTCCATAAAAACTAAACCTATATAACGTTAGTTTTATATATATATATATATATATATATATATATATATATATATATATATATATATATATATATATATATATATATATATATATATATATATATATATAACGTTAGTTTCATGTGAGACGGCCAAATTTTGTGATAACGTGAGATACAATCATAGTCATTCATTTGGTATATAAAATAAAAAACAGTTTTAAAATGCAAAATAATTAAAAATAATTTGAAAAAAAAATTCATATATTATTTTCGGAATTTATATTTTCCAAAAAAAATATAAAAATATAAAAAAAAAACTTTTTTTTACATATTCTAGTTAAATAAATAGAATATTCTACATATCTGAGAAATCTAGTATAATATTCTAATATTCTAAAAATCACATTAGAATATTTATAGTGTAATATTCTATTAAAATATTTCACGTATTTAAAAAATGGTAATTTTTTTTATTTTTTTTAGATAATTAAAGTTCCGAAAATAATAATAAAAAAAGAATTTTTCGATTTTTTTCTTTTATTTTGCATTTTAAAATTATTTTTAGATTTGGTCTCACGGTCTCACAAAATTAGCATGGTCTCAAATGTACATAAACACACACACACACACACACACACATATATATATATATATATATATATATATATATATATATATATATATATATATATATATATATATATATATATATATATATATATGACAACAAAAAAAATATAATTAGGGTTGCAATATTTAGGTTCTTAATTAAACATTTAAGCTATTATTTGAATAATGCAGTTTCTTTTGATATCTCTTCATAAATAATGCTTGTGATCATGCTATGTAAGCAGTCACTTTTATTGGTAATGTTTATGTCATCGTGCTACGTGAGCAGGTATTTTTATTGAGAATATTAGTATGGACAACGGGGTTATGATGTCAAATATTGTCAACACATATTTTAATATGTTATCACATGAAGCGGGGGTGTCGTTCTCATCTTATAACATTTGTTAAGAGAGAGAGAGAGAGATGATTTGATTAGAGAAAGAAATAATTTGACCACATTTCATAACGCCACATTTCATAACTAGAGAAGGGCGGTGTCCCGCCATGGTAACAACGTTAAACGCGTAGGCAAAAATGCATCTCCACGAGTTCGTACCAAGTAGTCTAAGAGTTTATACAAGCTAATGCTATATGGGATGATAGAGCATGCTTGAAGAAAAATAGAAATTTTATTTTCAGTTGAGTTGTTAATGTACTTTTTAACACCAAAATATAATAATAATAATAATAATAATAATAATAATAATAGAGGTATTTTATATATGTCATCCAATTACTTCAATGTACTTTATAATTTATTTATTTTTTACTTTATGCTTTTATTTTTCTGGTTCTTTTATATATATATATATATATATATATATATATATATATATATATATATATATATATATATATATATATGTGTGTGTGTGTGTGTGTGTGTGAGTGACATCTTAAAATTAAAAAAAATCATGTTTTTAAAACCAAACCATAGACCATATTTGTTTACAAAATAGTGTTTCCAAGAGAAGAAATAAAAATCAGAGTATCCCAAAATCTATAATCATAAAATCTAGAGAATGTGTGCACAATGACGCCTTTACTTTCCTACGATCGTCTAAAGTACCTAAAACAATAAACTGAAACTTTAAGTCAATGCTAGTAAGTTCCTCCAATGTACCACACAAAATCAAATAGATAACCACATGTATACAAGAGCATTCAGCCTGACGGGACCGTCGCGTAGGGCCTACAGCCTATCTGGACCGCTTTATGGGCCTTCGGCCTGACTAGATCGCTACACAGGGCCTACAGCCTATCTGTACCACCTTGGGTATCTTGGCCTTAGGCACAAAGTAGGATCACCTCAACCTAACAATCATGACATGTTGACATATACCATAACAATCAATAACTAGCAAACAGGTAATCATGCAAATCTACCAATCTAATGCATATTCACTAAGCATAAGTAAACATATAAATATACAAATCTAGCACATACTCAGCATAACAACAATCCAGTATACCATGATACAAAATCTATTAGGATGTCCTTGGTTTCTTCGACCCATAGGTATTGTTAGGACAACGTTCCACACAGTCTGAAACGATAAATGAACAAATCACCCTTCTGGATACTGACTCTATTGATTACCTATACAATATTTGTGACTGTAACGACCCAATTTTCACGTCCAAAAATTTCATTTTTGATTAAGTGATTTACAAAACGTTTGTAACACAATATCATCCGATCATATCATTTAATAAAACATTTCTCGTATCTGAAAACCAAATCGTAAAAACCTAATAATGTCAGAGTACAAATCCCAGAATAACTCATAGTGCGGAAAACAAAGAATGTGTGTATGATGTGCCGCTACCGCGCCAGCTCCTTCCCCTTCGCTGAAGAGGTACCTGAAACCAAAATTGTAAACTGTAAGCACGAAGCTTAGTGAGTTCCCCCACCGTAACACAGCCCATACAATCACATAGCATACATACTTCCGGGCAATTTTGGGGTGCCCGACCTACCCAGTACAGCCATTCTGGGATGCCGACCTACCCATGTGGCCATTCTAGGGTGCCGTCCTACCCATGCGGCTATTATGGGGTGCCGTTCTA